TTCTTACTCTCCTCAAGTTCCTGCATTTTGGATTCCCTTTATCTGTTTTTTTATTTTTTATTATTATGTTCAATCTTTTAATTTCAAAAATATTGATAAAATGGTGCAAGTTTCACTAGTTATTTCCACTATTTTTCACTTATTTCCATTTACCTCTAAGTATTTCCATCCACACTATTTCTCGCCTATTGCTTTCTTTCCTAGTGGAAATGCCAGCAAACTCCTTATGGTTACTAATATAATTGAATTCACCTCAACTTGTTTCAGCATTGGGATCAATCCATCAATATATAAGAAAATTTGTGGTGAATTGGGTCTCCTGTTCTGTTCATTCTTTTTGTGTTCACTGAATCCTGCAAGATATCTGCATTTATCATTTATCTCGATATTTTGCTACCCATGGACCATCTTACCCAAACATTACAATTTGGCCCTGCTGTTCATTCTACTATTTGAATTGAATATTTTAATGTGTTACCGAGTTTACTGTTGTATTCTTTGATTTTAAATGTGCAAGCTTTTAGATGGTACTATATTGTTCAAATATATTTCTTATGAATCTTTGTCAACGTTTTTTCAGTGATCATACTCTTAAGGTGTGGAGTATGGATGGTCTCTCAGACAATATGACAGAGCCAATTAATTTAAAAGCAAAAGCTGTTGTTGCAGCTCATGATAAAGATATCAATTCTGTAGCTGTTGCTCCAAATGATAGTTTAGTATGTAGTGGTTCTCAGGTTGGTAATTATATCTGACTTACAGTTTTCTTTGAGATTTTAAATCGAGTAAACTAATTATTTGCAAGAAAAAAAGGGCTACCTTACTTTTTTTCTGAGTGAAGAGAGAATAATCACTACTCACTAGCAACTTGTTACCATTATAATTATGTTGTATCCTATCAGGATCGTACAGCTTGTGTTTGGAGACTTCCAGATCTAGTATCAGTAGTTGTATTTAAAGGGCATAAGAGGGGAATTTGGTCCGTAGAATTTTCTCCTGTTGATCAATGTGTAGTAACTGCATCTGGTGATAAGACAATAAGGATATGGGCTATATCTGATGGCTCCTGTTTAAAGACATTTGAAGGACACACTTCAAGTGTGTTAAGAGCATTGTTTGTTACTCGTGGAACACAAATTGTTTCCTGTGGTATGAGGCTATCTATATCTGATTTTATTCTTTGTAACATTTTGATCGCGTGTGTGATCAACATAATTAATGTTTCAGGTGCTGATGGTTTAGTAAAGCTGTGGACTGTAAAAACTAATGAATGTGTTGCTACTTATGATCATCATGAAGACAAGGTGCAAGTTGTCCTTTGTTATACTTCTTATTTTCTGATGGTTTTTCTTTTCAATTCTTATTCTCATATTTTGTTTCTAGATGTTTTTTCCTGGAAAAATATGGTTCACATTTATCAATACGAAGCTTATATTTTTGACCTATTTAATTTTCACCCAGTGAATTATATCAATGCTGCTAAATTCTATGCAGTGCTGAACATTCAAATTATGCTTTCCTTGGTCACCCTTTATTTTCAAGATTTAGAGAAAATGTGATTTTATGGTCATCACATATGCAAGTACTTGTCATTCAAAATTCATTTCATGATACAACTGTTTTTAGATTCTTTCCAGAAGATACTATTTTTAGCTACTGAGAAAAGCACTTAAATAAATTTTTATTGAAAGATTATACAATTATCACAAATTGTTGAAAAAATATCTTTTAATTGAAAGACACATTTTTTTTTTTGGAAAAACATTTTCTTTGAAAAAAGCTGAAAAAACTGGTGTTACATTTTCTCAAACACAATGAATTGTTTCTTTTCTCTTTTCTTTTGCTTACAAAATTTGTACTGCAGGTTTGGGCCTTGGCTGTAGGCAGGAAAACAGAAATGCTTGCAACTGGTGGTGGTGATGCTGTTGTCAATTTATGGTTTGATTCCACTGCAGCTGACAAAGAAGAAGCATTCCGTAAAGAGGTGAGTTGAGCAAATCCTTAAATACTGGTGCCCTAATAACATGAAAGTTAAATCAAATGTCATGTTCCATGGTTATTGGTTGCTCATGATATAATGATTGCTAGTATCTACTATTATTTCATATTGCATAATGCATTGATTTTTCTGTTGCCGTTTTTATGAATTTAAGCCAAACATTGAAGGACCAAAATTAGTCACAATCTTGGAACTGCAAGTCATCTGATTGAAACATGTATCTGTATTCTGTAAAAATCATGACATTCATTGTTTAATTGTCAGGAATTTGTGCATCTTGCTCATTTATTTGCTAATGTCAACTGTCTTAAAATCATTACATTCATTGGTTTTTTTGGCCTTTTTTTTTCAAAAGCTCTCTCTAAGCTGAGAAAAAAGAAGACATTTCATTTCTTACAAATGAGTTAAACCAAACAATTACTAAATCAGTTGCAATGATGGACAACTCCTCATTCGAACATTTTTTTTTATAAAAATTCTAGATCATATTTTCAGTCACAGACAACTTTATTTTACTTCATCATGGAGTATTTCAACCAAACGATATTTATTTTAGTGACATGGAGAAGGGGTTCAAGAAAAGTTGTTTACAAAGATCTTTTTCTTAATTCAAATGGCTGATATTATGGAAGATTTTTCATATATTATTACCTGCTCCGTACATGTAATTATTAGGATTATTTTTATTTTTATTTTTATATTTCAAATCATGAGTGAACTCTGTTAGAAGTATTTTAATGCTTCATGTTGATGCAGGAAGAGGGAGTTTTGAAAGGTCAAGAGCTAGAGAATGCTGTCTCAGATGCTGACTATACTAAAGCAATCCAAATTGCATTTGAACTACGCAGGCCTCATAAGCTTTATGAGTTATTTGCGGAACTTTGCAGGTAAGGAGGAATTTATTTTGTTTGAATATTTTTGGCATACGCTCGGCTTGACTAATATTTCTGCAGGAAGAGAAAGGCTGAAGACCAAATTGACAGAGCACTTAAGGGCTTGGGTAATGAAGAGCTTCGTATATTATTTAATTATGTTCGAGAATGGAATACAAAACCAAAGCTCTGTTATGTTTCACAGTTCGTTCTTTTCAGAGTTTTCAACATTTTCCCTCCCACAGATATTGTTCAGGTGCTTATTTTACCTTTTTTAAGTTTTACGAGACATAGTGCATCTAATCGTGCATTATTTGCATAGTATGATGATTAAGGACTGAAATGCTTGGGCTGATTATTGAATATGGTTTTCAACTACATTTTTTGGGATGTTTTTGAGGAAAGAAAAAAACGCCCTGTTTAACCGTACATTTTTTGTGGGTCATTTCAGATTAAAGGCATTGGTGAATTTCTTGAAGGTCTTATTCCATATAGTCAGAGGCACTTTGGCAGGATAGACAGACTTGTTAGAAGCACGTTTTTGTTAGACTACATTCTATCAGGAATGTCAGTGATTGAACCAGAAGCTCAACCAACAGAATCAAAGTCGTCAATTCCAGACAAAGAAAATGGCATCGATAATGATCACACTCGTGAAATTACTGCTTCAAAGAAAAGGAAGTCAAACAAATCAAGACATGGTTCCCATAAGAAAGTTAAAGATGCAGCTTACAACAAGGTTGAATCTGTACAATTACAGGCATAAGATTGGTGCTCTCGGCCTCTAGTGTATACATGTTAGTTGATCGATGGAAGAGTTGTTTTAATTTATCCAAATTTTAAAATTTTGCTGTCATTTGATAAGCCCCAAGTTTTGCTGTCAACAGATGTAAGCTTCGCCACTGTAATTGTATCAGTATTCATTCTTTTATGTAGATTAGATTTCCGGTCCTGAACACGCGGTATAGAAATTTTTTTCAGCTGTCTAACAAGAGTAAGTTATTGTGATTGAGAGACTGCGGAGGCTCTACAAGACTACAACTATACCACAAAAAAACTTGCTAAGGAGACAATCACTGCAAATTTGACCCTCATAATTTTCTAAGATGTTCAATTGTCTGTTTCTGGATGTTGATCTTAAATTTAAATGAAAAAAAAATGATACTTGAACAATAACTTGTACAATAGAGGGAGAAGAAAAATAAAAGGTGTAAGTTTAAATTGTAATAAATTATGTGATAGACACTGACCAAAAAAATTTTAAATTATAAGATGTGATTATCTTAATTTTTTTGGCACATAAGACGGAATTATCTAATTTATCACGATTAATGTTGGTTAATTTAGTTAATAATATTTAATTTATTCTAAATTTATGTTTTTCTTCCAAACTACTTTTAATAATAATGAGCCATTTATTGTTCTAATGACTTATTGACTTTAATTATGGGTATTGTTAATAAGCAAATAATTAGTGCAGAAGATATTTTAAATTAATTTTTATAGAAATACCAAATAATATTTTTTGAGTATTATAAAATAGAGTGAATGGGGTATTATTGGTGAAACATTGGAAGAAAATTACATTTGCTGATAGATAAACATTTCTAGTAGATGAAAACTTGTGATATTAAACATTAAGTACTTTCATCTATGGTAACCCATATGAAAGTCTTAACAAATTTAATCTTGCATTATGTCATTTAATAAATGTTTAATTTAAAAATAGTTTGTGTTTAATTAACTTTGCATTTTATCACGATAAATTACAAAAATTAAGTTGAAAGCTAAAATAACACAGTTGTTTTGACTTATAATTAAGGATAAAATTAATTTTAAGAAGTTTACTGTCCACTTTTCTTTTGCACGATATTTATTTTGATAGAAATAACCATGAAATAGTATAAAGAAAAAAGAAATATGTCGACTTAAATATTTTTTATTATTTGTTCAAGACGAGTTGGGTTAATGAGAAATTTACACACGTGAATTTCACGTCTATAAATTTTCTCTAAAAAAATGAGAAGAAATAATGAAGAAAGAGTTATGATTATATGAAAGAGTCTCATTTAAATAGTTATTTAAAAAAATTGAAGCACGTTTCTTGCTCATAGTTTGTTCTTGTAATCTACAAGAGCAACTCTTTGCCTTCCCATATCTCTTGTATTGGGAACGTGAATATAGTTATTTTGATTCTGGCCATCTATATCCATAAGAATATGTTTTATTCAAATGAAAATGGCCCTTGCATTTCAATATAAAAATGAATAGAAATACATATCTCGTAGCTTAAAGCAGGAGAGTGGTTAGGGAATTTGATTTGCATCGCTATTACACCGAATAGACGAGGAGGTCCAAAGACAAAGAGCAGAGATGTCTGAAGCAGCAGAAGAGAGGTACCGTGTGGGCTACGCTCTCCCACCCAAGAAGGTGGAAAGCTTCATCCAACCCTCCCTCCTCCATTACGCCAACCAAAACGGCATCGATCTCATCCCAATCGACCCCCAAACACCCTTACAACAACAAGCCCCTTTCCACTGCATCATCCACAAACTCCACACCCCACACTGGACCCAACACCTCCACCAATTCTCCCAACAAAACCCTAACACCCTTATCATCGACCCCCCCGAGTTCATCCAACGCCTACGCAACCGCCTTTCCATGCTCCACCCCCTCAAACACTTGCAAATCTCCCTCCAAAACGCCACCGTTGCGGTCCCCAACCAACTGCTCCTCAACGACCCCAAATCCTTCGACGCCCACAAAATCCAAGAGCTGGGTTTCCGATTCCCGGTGGTCGCCAAACCCTTGGCGGCGGACGGCGGCGCCGGTTCGCACGATATGTGCCTGGTCTTCGACCGCGAGGGGCTCGACGCGTTGAGCTTTCCCACGGTGCTGCAAGAGTTTGTGAACCACGGTGGAGTTCTGTTCAAGATTTATGTGGCGGGGCAGCGCGTGAATTGCGTGAGGCGCAAGTCTTTGGCTGATATATCCGAAGAGAAGCTGAGAACGTTGACGGGGGCGATGCCGTTTTCTCGAGTATCGGATTTGGGCGTTGAAGACGGTGGCGCCGATGCTGAGAACGCCGAAATGCCTCCGCAGAGTTTGGTGGGTGAGTTGGCGAGGGGGTTGAGGGAGGCATTGGGGCTTAACCTTTTCAACGTTGATGTGATTAGAGATGCGAAAGATTCGACGAGGTACCTCGTTATTGATATCAATTACTTTCCCGGCTACGCAAAATTGCCCTCTTATGAGCCCTTTATTACCGATTTTTTGTTGGATGTTGTTCGCACCAACACTGCATAGGTGAGCCAAAAATCCTAGGATGATCGATCATCTTTTTACAATGTTATCTAATCATTTTTGTTGTGTTGTTTTTAAGTCCTTTCCCTTCTTGCATGTCGTTTTCCAGAATGATCGGTGGTGTGACTTGATCATTTGAAGTTCCACCACTCTCAGCTGCACTGTGCAATGCTCTTCCATAAAATCTGGTTTGTACGATGGTATAATTGGATTGGTTCATAAACCCTTCGCTTGGAACACTACAAAACCCACTTATTCCACATTTTTCTAAGAATAAACTCTGAATTTCATTTCATCAAAATGCAAAAACCTCATCATGATCTTCAATAAACCATAAATGTCAGACTTCATTAATCCTTAGGCATCAGACACGGTTGTTTAATTTTTTTAGGGACTCGCAATCCGTTACCGCAATATTCATGTTGAAATTTGGGGGGTTTATGAAGAATTAAGCATTGATACATATATTATAAAAAATACATATTGTTAAACATGGATGGTGCTCGTCTTCTAGGCCGTGTCTTTCTTGATAATACCATCGACTCGGAGTTGCTTCAGAATCTGGTTCTATGCTTTCATACCTTGTGTATAAGCTTTATTCTACTACTATATCATATTAAAAATCACCATGAATTTTCATTCGTCAATAATAAAAAAGAAAAGATCTTTATTAAAGAACAACTCCTCACCCCACATGTGGTGCTGTCATTACGCATCTTTAATTTCCTGTAGGCCAGAATATGTTCCATCATACATGTCGTTACTGTTTTTATTTTTATTGGTTGACATTCAAAATCGAATCTTTAGGCACATTCCAAAATACATTATATTCTGATAGTTCAAAATTAATTTTACCAAATATCATTTCCATTTTCCACCCAATTTTAAAATAAAAATGTTATACCCTAGCATGCCCCTACACTTGAGCACTTCATATTCTTGATACTTAACCTACTAAGTCAAGGACAAGGACTTCTACACTATACAAATTCACCAAAAAAAAAGGAAAAAAAAAAGGAAAAAAAAAAGTGCATTACAAACATAGGACTCTGGAGCAAAATTTGCGAAACACAAAAGTATCACGCTATGCACTTTAACTGTATTTTGGAGCTTCCAAACGTTCCAATCAGCTTTATTGTATGCGTACAGAGTTAATAATTGACTAGTCCGACTAATACAAACCAAGCAGAAAACAAACCATAAGCCCGCGTTTCAAATTTTTACTTCAAATAATGAGAATACTCTCTAGCAGACTAGCTCCAACCAAGTGCAGGTGTTCTCTGATGAGCAACTGATTAACATAATAACAAAAACCAAACGAAAGATTTTCATCATCATTCTATACATGAAAGAAATCATGCAGTGGCAAGTTTCTCGCCACCAGCAGTTGCCTTGGCACGCTTAGCTTCATAGTCTTTAACGGCAGCTTTAATGGCATCTTCAGCAAGCATGCTGCAGTGGAGCTTAACTGGTGGAAGTGAAAGATGCTTTGCAATTTCACTGCATAACATCAATTATTTGCCACTTCAACATCTCTTAACGACAGATCAGAATTATCAATCATGAAACCATAACCAAATCTAGAAGCATCTGCTATGATGCACATATACAATACTGTCGATACATGTATTTGTACGATTATTCTAAAATGTATAGAATTCACAAAACTTAAAAAATGTATAATTACATTTCTGCAAAGCCAAATTAAGAAGACAATCAGAGATCATCGTGTTTATAAATCACTTTATAGTCTACAAACAGGAATAGTATCAGTCTCATCCCTATCTTGAATTCATTCATAAAGAAGACAATTTCCATTTATAAATCACCAATGGCCAATGCTTTCTATGTTTTTCTATTATACCTGCTTCTATGTCTCATATGTAGTATTAGATTTTCATTATTTTATTTGAAGTCTTGGATACTTTTAGACTAATTGGCGAGGTAGTATTGAATACTTCATATCTAAGAGTATTGGTATTGAATCCGCATCAGATACAGGGTAACGGTGCTTCATAGACTATCTGGCAGGACTAAACTCCTAAAGCCAGTACATTAAAGAACAACGCATGATCTTCCATCATTTTCTTTTTATTGAAAACGTAAACTGTCCTATTATTGTCTTATCCAGAAAATTAGCACAACATAACAAACGAAGATGAGTACATTACATAAAAGTTATTTTTTTTAAAAATATTAATTTTTATCCTATCCATTGTTATCCAATGGCATCATCAAAAATAAGATAGTAACGATAGTATTATCTTACGCTACATTGTATCTTAGACAAACATTGCTGAAGTATATGATGTTATGTATACTTACGTATTTTTTATAGACAGAACTTCCTCCATTTGCTTTCCCTTCACCCACTCGGTAGCTGAGACACATCAGAAACAATCTGAATGAGGATAGAATAGAACAAATTGAGTCAGAAAACAGAGAGCAATGTTTCTATTTGCGATTACCGACGGAGGAAGAAGCAATGGCGGAGCCACACCCGAAAGTCTTGAAGCGTGCATCGACGATTTTTCCGGTCTCTTCGTCGACCTTAATCTGGAGCTTCATGACATCGCCGCACGCCGGCGCCCCCACCAGACCCGTCCCCACGCTAGGGTCGTTCTTGTCGAACGACCCAACGTTTCGGGGATTGTTGTAGTGATCCACAACCCTCTCGTGGTACAACCTCGCCGGAACCCTAACTCCCAACGACGTCGTTTCCAAAACCCTCTTTGCTCCCACTCTCAGCATCTTCCACACACAGCCACGAAAATGGGAAAAAATAATTATATTAATTCGCTTATTTTGTTTTTTATGCACGAGGGGTGTAAATTGATTGAAAAAGTATGTGGATGTGGACTTGTAAGACTGTTTCCGTATAATAATGTTGGGCCTCTCTTGAATTATACAATGGGCTGGGCTCTTCCACGTTCCTAATTGGCGTCATTGTTCACAATTGCAAATGTTTTTGTCAAAGGGGTGACTCTATGACTTCCTATATAAGAAACACCAAGATAAATCAAATTATTATAGAGACTAAACGGATAAAAAAATTTGATGATGCTTTTAACCATATAGTAATTAATGTTTCGTGTTTCATTCATGATGGTTATAGTTGCAAGGTTACAACATTATTTATTACTTTTATCTTGTTTGAGTTTTGGGTTTAGTGTTTGTAGATATTTTGTTGATGCATGTAGTTGAGATCAGCTTTTTTTTTTTTTTTTATATACTTTTTATCACACCATTTATTATTATTATTATTATTAGTATTATTATTATTATTATTATTATTATTTTACCGTTATGTAATCCCAGTTACATTGGTTATCTAATTAAAAAATGAGATTCAAGAATTTATGAATAAAAGGGTGATAAGATATAATTAGATTTTAAATTAACGAATAAACTAAAATTACAAAATTCAAGTGGTGGAGATGAAATGCACGAAAATAATTGAGGGCGGGATTTGTCAAATTGAAAAGGCAAAATCTAAAGCAGAATTAAGTTTAATATAAAAATTATTTGCGATGAAAATAAATAAATTTTCTATTTTATAATTTGGGAAAAAACTTAGTTACTAGAAGAGTTGTTAAAGTCAATTTTAGCTTATGGGATAACTTGATTCACTTTGAAAATAGGTTGAGTTGCACGAAAAAAATAAATAAAAAATTTTTAATCGATCTAAATATTCAACCTGATTCACTTTCAATTTGATCCACTCGGGACAAATCCACAGTGGATCGGGTTGCCTACCTGACCTATTTACACCTCTCATCAACCCAATCTATCAATGAACTACTTAGCCATTTTTGTTATATGTGTATTATTTTAATAGGGTACCATTTTTTTGTGTAGAGAAAGATAAAGTTAATGTTAGATAATATAAAATTATTATAAATTTATCTACTTAAGTCTCAAATGAAGTTTAATATTGATGGATAACTAATCCAATAACAAATTTTTTTAATTTATTTTTTAATTATTTAAAGTTATACACTTTTTTAATTAAGTTTAATGTTATCTAAATAATACTTAGTTTGACAATTTTTATTTTAGATTAGAGATTGTTAATTAAGTTTAATGTTATCTAAATAATACTTAGTTTGACAATTTTTATTTTAGATTAGAGATTGTTTTATGTTAGAGTTTATTTTAAATTGAAATTTATAATTTAAAAAAAAAAAGTTAAGTAGGTTGGTGGATTAGCCATTTAATTCACCAACCCATGGTGAATCCGAGTTGAATTAGAAAATTTCGGACATTAAAGTTAATGAAACAAACTAAGTTAACCCACTTAGAAAATGTTTTGAGGTAGGTTGAACCAAACGGGTAGAATCAACCCGTTTTGACAACACTACTTACTCGTTTTTATTAGTAAAAATATTATTCTAAATTTAGGTGATGTTCTATAAGTGATTCAATTTGTCTCTATCAATGATATTACTAGTAATCCTTAACTATTAAAACAATATTTTTAAAATCGCAAAAATTAAAATTCATTTTAAAATTTGAGAGATAAAAATAAACTCTAAATTTAAATGACTAAAAATATATTTGAACATTTTTTTTACCTATTCAAATTTTAATGTTTTATTTCAAACCTTAAAAGTTTATAAAAGTGTAAATAATCAATTTTATTATGCTACATTTCTTCATGCATTAGATATATTTTTTGTTCTTTAAATTTAGAGTAAGTTTATTTTTGGTATCTCAAATTTAAAATTGATCTTTTTAGTTTGTATAATTTTAAAAAATCTTATTTTAGTTCCTTAGGTCATAAATAACATATCTAACAGTGATAAATTGAGACAGTTATACAATATTAACGAAGTTTAATGTGATAGTTTTACTAATAAAAATACTTATAGGTGAATTTTGTGCAACAAATTTACATAGACTAAAAAAAATTAATTTTAAATTTGAGAAATAAAAATAAATTTACTTTAAATTTAAAAAACTGAAAATATATTTGAACCTTTTTTATTCAATAAAATGTATAAAATAAAATGTGAGAAAAAGATTAAAAAAATAATAAACCAAGTTCTATAATCAAAAAACTGAGTCACTTATAAAAAAAAAAAAAAAAAAAAAAGACAATGAGAAAAAAAAAAAGGAGATAATGGGATGAAGTTACCTGTTGATGAAAGTAGTTACAAAGAAATAAGATAATTTTGGCTATTTAACACTCATTGATTCACTCTAAAAATAATCAGAACAAAACCTCCAAGTTTATAATACTATTTTATGAGATCGTTTTGGAATAATAAGCAAGAAATTGTGATCATCTTCACAACAAGGAGTAAGAACAAAAAAAATTGCTAGAGTAACAATTACGAATTAATATTTTGTGTAAATTAATTAGATTGACATTTCTTTAGGTTTCATGAACTTGCTCAAACACTTCTGAACTTTTTTTATCTAAAAAATAATTACGTTCAATTATTTAAAAAGTATTACATTAACATTTCTTAAACATTATATTAACTCTTTAATTATTAAAAAAACACATTACAGTATGACCGACTAACTATCTGTAAGAGAGATTATTTTAAATAATAAAAAAAATTTAGGGTATCGATATGAAACTATAAGAAGTATAAGTGTAATTTACTATAATATTTTTAAAATGGGATTAGCGGGCACAAATTTATGATTTAGAAAAGAAAAAAAAGCGACATTATAAGAGCTAAACTATAAGGAAATCAGTGATATTTAACAATTATAGGAAGTTATTTAACAATTTATTTCACTGCTATGTTACAAGTAGTTTTAGCTAGGAGCTACTATTTTCTTTGTTTGGGGTGAGAGAGTGTTCTGTGTAATCAAATGGGACACGTAATTTACTTACTGCAAGTATAATTAAAAGGGATATATATATATATATATATATATATATATATATAAAGAAACTAGCTATAAGGAAAATAGGCAGAATCTAATTCACATCAATTTTAATATTAAGGAAAATCATTAAAAAAAAAATACTATTGGGCTTGAACTAATGAATAAATCTAAATGATGATATTAAACTTATATTGATACAAATTTACATAATCTCTAACGTTGTATTTTAGTGTTAATTTAGTTAATAATCTTTCTATTAAGTGATATTGGTCCCCGAATAATTTTTTTTATGTCATTGTGTTATAGGTATGATGACGTCACAAATATATTTTATATTATGAGTTAAAATTTTCATTAAATGCAACATGCAGTTTAATATTTTGTAAGAAATAGTAAAATTTATAAACTCAAAATCATAGAAAAAATAAGACTAATAAAGTTGGTTCAATAAAATGAGTAAGTGTCGCAAACACACTTAATATTGAGTTTAATTCTCACTAATAAACAAACAAATAAAATTAATCTACAACTAGCTGATCAAATAGTTGAGTTGGATGCGTCCGTGTTATGAACTCTCTTGATACCAAATTTGACCATAAACAAATAAATTTGCACCATTATACTCTCATTATAATATTGAGAGAAGGTCAAGTGGTAATAAACTTGATAGTGTATCTAAGAATGAACTTGACATGTCACGTGTAGTTTGAGGAGAACTATTTTCCAATTTCAAATCAGCATGTCCTTTGTTGACGAGTTTGGGTTCAATGAATTTTTCATTTTCCTATAAAAAAAACACAAAAACTCAGTTAGATACAATTAGGGATTAGGCTTTACATGTGTTAGGCATTATATACATAAGGGTTTATTTGATCAACTTTTACCTTTTAACCGATTGCAGGATATTCAAACATAAAACTTTCAATTTATCTATAAAAGTTTGAATATTATTTCTCTAATATGTGATCAACTATCAAGATCTTCTTAATCCATTTTCATGACCTCTACACTACAAGAATGCATGTCAGCATGCCTTCCTCAATTAATTGCCTCCTTGATAAAGAAGAAGCCTATATTGTCCAACCCCACAACTAGGTTTAAATCTAAATGCTAATCTCTTCAATGCAAACAAATGAATTTAAACACATAAGCATATACAAAAGAAAGGCTCTATATATGAAATTATAAAATTTTATAATGTAGGTCAACACATCTCAACACCCATTATCATGAATAAACATACATAATATGATCTTTACTGAACCAAGTTACAAAACACACATATTCAGAATATTTTGATGTTTATGCTCAAAACACATGAATACAAAATATAAAAGCTAAAAGAAATGTTACAGTACATGAAATGATAGAAAACATTCATGAAAGAGAGTGACTCTTACCGGTAAAACTTTGCCTGTAATGGAAACAAATGGATGGTTCAGAAGCATGTTGGCAGTCCACCTCTGATTAGGGTCCTTCACAAAGCATTTATTCAAGAAATCTCCACAAAGGGGACTCAAATTCGAAGGTAGTGGTGGTGCTTCTTTAAGAAAAGCAAGTTTAAACATTAAGTCACGTGTGGTGGGAACATGGTGCCATGCAGGTAACCCCGTGAGCATCTCAATAACCATGCAGCCAAGAGACCATATATCCAAGGGAGCTTCAATTTGGCCCATGACCGATTCTGGGGACATGTAATATGGTGTACCTCTAAACTTAATCTTCCAAGAGTCAGCATCAAACACCTCGTCTTTGGTCTTAGACAATCCAAAATCACTAATCTTGAGTTGATACCCACCATGTTCATGGTTAGGAAATAAAAGCACGTTGTCCGGCTTAAGATCACAATGAACAACTCCGTATTGATGAATGATAGAAAGCCCTTTGAGAAGCATGCGTGTGTAGACTTGAACTTCACTTTCCAGGAGTGATTTTCTCTTTTTGATCAAGTTTCCAAGAGAACCTAATGGAGCATACTCCATCAAGAGATTGTAGATGTAACGACCATTCTCCATGGTGGGTAGACCCCAAATGCATTGAACGATTTCTTTGCAACCATAGAATAACTCCAATATGGCTTCTTCTTTCTGCAACGACTTTACCCCGTGAGGCTTCGAACTCTTAACAGCTATCAGCACTCCTTGCACTCCTTCTGGAAGAATGGTCGAAGCAAGAGAGACAGTTCCATAGGAACCCTCTCCAAGAACCCTTATCTTCTTCCATTCTGTAAACATCATGTTGTGATGTTTCTTGATACCATTCTTGAAGAGAAGAGAATTGCTATGAGCTATTAATAAATATGTTTAGAAAACTGCATGAAATTCATGGAGGGAAAAATTCATAATAATCCCTCCTTGTATTCAATTTTGATTATTCTAAAAGGAAAAAAATATATACTATATCATTATTTATATATTTAAGATTATCATACATTATTTTTATGATTCAGTTTTATCTTTTCTTTCTATCTTTGTTTCTATTTTTATCACTTTATTTATCTTTATATGTATATATCTTACTTTATATAGTTATAACAGATCATATATATATATATTCAGCTTAAATCCTCACAGATTTATTTTATCGGGATGTAATCTTAAGTAAATTGAGTTATCTGAATTAAATGTTTGATGGAATGTAGTTGAGATCGATCTAAGCATGAATGATTTCCGTGACAAATGGGTGATAAGATATAATTCGATTTTAAATTAAAGAATAAATTAAAATTACAAAATTTTAAGTGGTGAAGATAATTGAAGGCGGGATTTGTCTAATTGAAATTGCAAAATCTAAAGCAAGATTAAGTTTAGTATAAAAGATATAATTTGATTTTAAATTAAATAATAAATTAAAATTACAAAATTCAAGTGGTGAAGATGATTGAGGGCGGGATTTGCCCAATTGAAATGGGAAATCTAAAGCAAAATTAAGTTTAATTAATATAAAATTATCTTTCTATCGATATCCGTTATATTCTTTATTATGAAAATAAATAAATTTTCCATTTCATTTTATGAGAAGTTGATGAAATCCTAATAGTTATAATTATTTTACAGTTTAAATATGTATTTAATTCTTTACATATAACGAATTAAATATGTATGAGAAGTTCGCCGGAACCCTAACGCCCAACGACGTCGATTCTAAAACCCTCTGTGCTCCCACTCTCAGCATCTTGATTTACCCTACACACAGAGCGACGAAGGCCACGAAAATGGGAAAAATAATTATAATAATTCGCGTATTTTATTTTATTTTATTTTTTATGCATGAGGATGTAAATTAATTGAAAAAATACGTGGATGTGGACTCGTAAGACTGTTTGCATATAATTATGTTGGGCCTCTCTTGAATTACACAATGGGCTGGGCTTTCTCACGTTCCTAATGGTCGTGATCACTGGTGGAGCTTCTTTGGGGATCAGGGAGCCATGGTCCCAAAATTATTTCTAAATTTTTTTAGAGTATATAAATATAGTTATTTTTTGTAATTTTTTTATGATATTTTTTAAAAACATTTATTTTTTAGTTTTTAATAATTGCAAGTCATTACATAAACATAAAGTAACACTTTTATTAAAAGTATTTTTAATCATTTTCTTTATTATTATTGTTATTATTATTATTAATTTTATAAATAATTTTATGTTAATATTACACATTAAATTTTTTTATTTTAATAGCACCAATACTTATAACTAACTTTTAATATTAATAATATTTTTCACATATTAATTATTTCATTAATTGATTATATTTTAATAATATTTATTTTTTACATGTTCTAAACTCATTTTTTTATGACTTTTGTTTCTTCATTAAAGAAAAATTTGTGCAATATAACTTAAACCTATTATTTCCCTAGTCCTTATGCAAATTTTGTTTTGTAAAAAAAAAAACACTTAAATTGTATTGTATATTTTTTCACAAAATAATTTGTAGATAAAATTCTCTATTATTATTTAAAAATATGAAGAGTGTTAATTTTCTTTACAAGAATATTAAGAGTGTAATTAATAAAGTGAAAAAAAATCATTTAATATAATAAAAGCAGGTTATTGAGAAAATAATTAATATCTATATATCTACTAATAATAATGGGGATTATCCCATTTTATGTTCATAGTTCCTTTACCTATTTTACATTTAATAAGTGTTAAAAAAAACTGTCATGATTATACAAATAACACGAATTATTATTTTCTCTATTTTTTTTACAGAGACACGGATTTTTTTTATAGCTAATTTGAATAATATAATTAAATGCTTAAAATATTCATAAAATTAATATTACAAAATAATTATATTTAATTTATATATTATAATTTTTATTATTTTGACCCCTCGTAAAAAAGTTTTCAAGCTACACTACTGGTCGTGATGATTGAGAACTGCAAATGTTTTTGTGAAAGGGGTGACTCTATGACTTTTTATATAAGATCACCATGATCAATCAAGTGATAGAGGCAACACGGATTAAAAATAATGATACTTTTAAAAATATATTTATAAAAGAGTTTAACTTTTATACAGTTCACCAATATGAAATGATTATTAGTATGTATTTTTAGATGATTATTATTATAAAAAGTTAATAAATTATTATAAGTAATTAATAAACTTATTATATGTGATAATTTGTAATTGGATAATAGTATAAAACTCCTTACATTGGATAATTATATATTGTTTATTGTAATGATTTGACAAAGCACTATACTTAGTATAGTACAATTATAATGTAACAAAAAATATAAAGTAATCAACTATACTAAGATTTTCATGCAACATCATATGAATATTCATGCAAATATATGTATAGGGTGATTATAACAATTTTTGCCAATATAATTGAAAAATATAAAGTTCCTTATAAGATTAAATATAAATCTGTTAAGGCATAGAGTCATTAATTTAATCATGTCCAATACTACCAAACCTACATTTGACATCGCCATGTTAGAGAACTCCACGACCAATCACACTTGACATGACCAAGTTAGATAATACTTAATTAACTCATGCTTAGCATTATCAATCTCGCAATCAACATCAATGAAGCAGAGATCCCCTAACCTACATCAAGCGCTAATACCATAAAGTTGCATTCAGTGCAATGGTGATTTTCATACTTCGTAGAATCACAATTTTAGCTCAACCTACAAGAAAACTCAAACCAAAGCAACATGTAATCCCATATTTGACATATACTCAAGATATACAGTTCATTTCCATCAAAAGGAACCACATACAACCATTCAAAATCAAAATCACTAAATCTTTCCAAAAACACTTTCAAGAGCAATTAATATTTCAAGAAAAAGTTTTCATCTTATGATTCAATCAATTCAACCATCAAAATAGGCACCTACAAGCATAAGTTAGCGATTATACATTAACAACATCAATCAACAAATTTCTCTTACCTCAAATCACTCCAAAATGAGAAGAGGAAGTGATACAATTTTTAAACATAGAATCTTCTTAAAAACAGGTAAAGGAACAAAGAGGAACTTGACCCTAACTATAAATCATCGACAAAACTAAAGTTATCAAAAAGAAGCATGACTCTAACCATGACCTACCAGTAGAATTAACACTAGTTTTTATCCAAAAACAAAGAAAAAATCTCTCACACTGAGAAACTCATAGTTTGGTTAATCTTCAAGTTTGTCTTGGATGCTTACAAGAGACTCCTATTTATAAACTAAGATAAACAAACTCTCACTTAGTAACTTTCCACTAAGTCTCCACTTAGGAAGCCTAAAATCACTTAAAACTGACCTAGGCTATATGAAAAACCCTCTAAACTTATTTAAGTAAAATAAAATACGAAAGTTAAATTAATAATTAAGAAAATAGACATAAATAACTTTTAAGCCCAAAATTTAAGTAAATCATCCAAATAAAGTCCAGTATAATGTAGCATCTTTAGTATTAGGTGTTAGACACATTGGATTCTTTAAATTATTTTTTAAAATTCTTTTAGCTCTTTTTCTAGTCATTGAGTCGTCCATCAATTGAAAGTGATATTTGAAAATATTGGACCTTGATAGATTCTTATCAAGAAGGAAGAAAATAAGAAAAATCTCAAACTCTCTGCATAGTGACTCGACTTCAAATTCTTAACTCCTAAACTTGAATCTTCAAGTCTCACAACACCACTTAGCTACAAGGAAGGGTTTGGGTACTTTATGAGGTCAAAAGAAGAAGAAGATTATCTCCAACTTTAGAGTATCACTCTCTAACTTTCCTTAAGATATGAACTTATCAAGTTCACATCTTAAGAAAACCTTAAAAACCTTTCCCTAAACTTGGTCAACCTGACCCTAACTAAAAACAACTTCATAAACAACCTAACTCTCCAAGTGATGGAATCTTCAAGGTGATTTGGCATCTGAAATCTCCAATGAAGACTCATAGCTCTTCAAGTTGATTTCCACAATTACAAAACTTCAAAGAAGACTCAAAAGATGGAGGGAAAAAGTGTATGGTGTGCTCCACTTCTCTGGGGAGAAAATAAGCAAGAAAAGATGTACTTGCCACAATAAGATTTTCTTGATGAAAGTGCTTAAGGAGAAGTATTCTCCAATGAGATTCAAGAGAGAATTTGAGAGAGATTTCAAAAAACTCAACTCCAATAATCTCAAAAGTGATGCATACAATGAGCAATCGACCTTATATAGGGCTAGGAAGCTTATAGAACAAGCTAAACAACTAAGGTTATTAAGTTTTAACCAAGGTAGCTTAACCTTGGATAAGTTAGGTGCCAATTTGAATTCAAAATTCAAATTTGGGCAGCCAAAACTAATTCCATATGCACCCATGTGCTTCTAAATCTTAGATGTATAATAACCAATGAGAATAGGCCACGTGGCAAGCAAAAAAAATGTGACTTAATTTGAATGTTGTGTGATTAACATTAGAATTTGATTTGATCATGCACATGTGCGCCATGGTAGATCCAATCAATTCAAATGTTATTCCAAGGCCAAATATAAGTTGTACCTCTTATATGTCCAAACTAGAGAAAATATATACAAGTAGATGAAAGGCATTGAGCTTAATTATTTAGCATCTTAAAGCTCAAGATGAGCTCAGGTCAACTAACTTGAAAATGAGCTCAATCCTTTTAGGCCCTTCTAGCTTAGCATATTCCTCTAGGCTTCATTTGGATGACACTCCTGGGCATAATTGCATCAACAATAATAAACACAATATATCAGCAATTAAACACC